ACTTTGCTGACCTTTCCTATAATTTGTGGTGTAGGTAATATCCTCAAGTAAATATGTGAGGAGCCGATATAGGGTTAAACCTCGGACTGACCTGTTGGCAAAGTCACAAGCAGGCCTTCCGAGTCTTAAACAACCCAATCCGAGAGGTGGCCAATGATTTATACACGCTATCATTTAAAAAATAAAAAAGGGGGAATTTGCCAGAAGCCAGTCCATCCTTGCTGCTTGACACAGTCGCTGCAGGGAAGAAACATCTGCACAGCATATGTTTCAAGGGACCTGGTGTATATGGCATACTGTTCTTAGTATGTTTGCTCCCCTTCTTAGCGCTATGTGTTTTAACCAAGGTCACCTCTCCGAGAAAGGTTGTTTCCCCAGGTAGGGATTTTTTCCTGGAGTTAGGGATTAACAGGACTAAGGAAGGGACTAAAACCCCTTAACTAAGTGCCAGGCGGGTAATTAATCACTTCAACTACTAACAATCAAGTTTAAGATACATAATCTTTACTTCAGTTACTTCCTTGTAGCTTAACAGAACAATAGAGTAGTGACCTTGGAATGGAGATAACAAACGCCCTAACCTTTGGAATAGAATGGATAGGATTAAAATCAACTGGAATAAATACAGATGTAATAAGAGAATAAAGAGAGAACCTCGCTATGCTGATCAACTGAATGCTGCCTCCATGTCATTCCTTCTTCGCCAACTCCATCCACACCTTTGGGAACCCCTGGACCTGCTGGGGCTGGACCCCAACAAAAGAGGATCTTAAAAAGTTCTCCTCATGACCCCAAAGTAAAGCAAAGGTTGAGGCCCTCTGCACCAGATTGGTACAAGATGTTTGTGTGGCAGGAGAGGCCTATGTAACATCCCTCCATAGAACACAGTGCCTGTTGTATGTATCAGTTTCCTATCGATGCTGTAACATTACCATAAATTTATTAGCTTAAAATAACCCAAGTTTATTCTCTTATAGTTCTAGAGGTCAGAAGTTCAAAATGAGTCTTAAGCTGAGAAGGCTAATTCCAATGTAACCCTGATGTTGGGGGGCTAGCAATCTGAATCTGTGCAGTAACCTAATGTACATTCTTGATAACCTGTAATTAAGTCACTGCCCCTTTCTCCAATCTGGTGTTCCAAGACCTGTTACCTAAATGCTCACACATTCCAATACATGGGGCTTTTTGCAAAGCCCACGAAAGGTCCGGAAGTCCCCATCCATATTCGGGGGCAAAGAAACCAAAGGGAATAAAAGAAGGTCTTCCACCATATTGGTTTGCTCAGACTCTGGAGGTTACTCCCCTGAGACTGTTGGTAAATAAAGCTGTGTAACTCCATTTCTCTGAGCATCACTTGGGTTTCTTTGGTTTTCTACAACAAAGGGGCTAAAATCAAAATGTCGTATGAGCCATATTTCTACTGGAGGCTCCAGGAGCCTGTTGTCTCTTCCAGTTTTAGAGGCCACCCACATTCCTTGTCTTGTGTCCAATTCACTCTGATCTCTGCTGCTCATTACATCACATTTTCCTCTGACCCTTACCCTCTTGCATCCCCCTTATAGGGACTGTTGTGATGACACTGGGCTCACCTGGATAATCCAAGATAATCTCCCCATCTCAAGACCTTAAACTTAATCACAGCTGCCCAGTTCCTTTACCATGAACGGAAATTTATTCACAGGTTCTAGGGATTAGGTTGTGGACATATTTGAAGGGTCTGCCACACTATGCTGTTTAAAATGCAGTTTTTGAGAAGTCAGAGAGAAGACTGACTCCTCACCTAGAATACTGAAACCCAGAAGGCTTAGCAAGTTTCCACAGCTATCTCAAGCTATTTCTTAAAAGTGACCTGCAAAAAATATTTTGTCTCTCTCTAGACTATAGCCTTACACGTCAGCTGTCCCAAATAACCAGGCCCTAGGGTAGTGATCAAATTAACAGAAAACTCAATTTCCTTTCTCAGGTCCCAGTACAGCAAGCCCCATTACAGTGTGAGAATTCAAGAACAGTACCTGCCCTCTGTTATAAGGAGAGGAGGAAGTGCAAACATTGCTCAAAGGGGTCGTGAAGAACATTTGTAGAGGGATGCACTCTCAGCACTCCCTTTACATAAGGATTGGAAGGATCACCACTCATTCTTAGAACAGTGTGTTGATAGGGCCCATCGTAATGCCCCTATGGTGCATTCTCCCTCTTTCTCTCCCCACCCTCCCTAAATGATTTTTTGAGGGTTTACTTTGTGCCAGGCAAAATAAGCTCTGAAACAAAGTGTTCTTCCTTTTCTACTCTCTCCCATTCTGCCAATTTCCTCCAGATGAATATTCCTAAAATACCACTTTTCTATGTTGTTTCCCTCTGTCATTTGGGGTCCTGTCTTGTCTATGCAGGTTTCCCCCCCATGACTCACAACATAAACCTCAAATTCTAGCCAAAGCAATCTTAATAGAGATACTGTTTTCTACTTTGTTGCTTAAATTCTTAGCATAAAATATTGTAGTGTTCTTCCTGCATGTCACAACGGAGGACACCGAGGCTGCCAGGCACTCCTGGACACCCACATGCACAGAGCCTCATCCCTCACCCTGCTCAAGGCCACTACCTCCCACTCAGTCCGGCTACACCATGCCACATCCACCGCTTCTTTT